GGGGAGGGGCAGAGAGAGAGGGAGACACAGAATCGGAAACAGGCTCCAGGCTCTGAGCCATCAGCCCAGAGCCCGACACGGGGCTCGAACTCACGGACCGCGAGATCGTGACCTGGCTGAAGTCGGACGCTTAACCGACTGCGCCACCCAGGCGCCCCGAACCCCCACTTCTTATCATGAATTCTGAAGTCCAGCCGAACTGAAAGTTCTATGTCTCTGCTCTGAATTCCTCAAATCCCTCAATCATCTTTTTAAAAAAACTTTTTATGTTTCTGAGAGACAGAGAGACAAGAGACTGTGTGTGTGCACGTGCGAATGGGGTGGGACAGAGAGACAGACAGACAGAGAGAGAGAGAGAGGCAGGGAGACAGAAGCTCCGAAGCAGGCTCTGCACTGCACAAGCTGCATGAGCCATGAGATCATGACCTGAACCGAAGTCAGACGCTCAACCGCCTGAGCCACCCAGGCGCCCCTAAATCCCTCAATCACCTTCAAGGGCAGGGCCCACGACTTCCTGTTCCACCTTGGAACTGTAGGTGTCTACGAGGTACCTTCAGCTGAATGTGATCATGTGGACACTACCTTTGAAGCACTTGCTGTGCGCCAAGGACTGTCCTCAGCCCTAGACACACACTTACACCTTCGTCACACTGACATAGGTTTGTGGTCACGCCAACCTCAGGGATAAGGAAGCCGAGACACGGACAGGCTGTTGCTCAAAGTTACACAGGTAGTAAGCTGTGTGGGCAGAATCTGTGTTTAGCCGCTCGGGTTCCGGAGTCTCTGCCCTTGAGCAGTCCTCTCTGCTAAGGTGCTAAGACTTAAACGTGAGACTTCCAGAGTCCTAACGAAGGAGGTGTCCATTTACTACACTGTCTCAGTAAGCCCCAGACAGAGTGCGGGCCTTCAGGACCCAGGTAGGAGGAACGCCTGCGCGCTGTGAGGACAACACTACCCCACTGTTTGGAAATGATTCCTTTCTGTCCACCTTCTTCCACGGCCCTTCCACCCTGCACCCTTTGTGGGACCCTTTGTGGGAACCTTCAAGGGCTGCGTGATACCTGGAGTGTTACTACAGGACGCTATTATCAGCCTCTGTGAACCTCACCACTGATATTTTGGGGAAAATCAAAGCTCCCCGAAATACTCGGCTCCCGGCAAGTAGGACCGCGGCAGCAGCAGCAACGGCTCTCACCTCGGCCTTGCGGCACACGCTAGCGTCTGCGTGGACGAAGGCAGCTCAGCGGTAGCCTCACCAAGTCTATCAAAACGCAACTTTCTGAGATGTTCTCAGGATCGTTGACCTCCATGAATCAAAGCGAAACAATTCAGCAACTTCCGAACGTTTGGCTACAAGATTAGGAGACAAACCTTGTTTCCATTGTTCTTTTGCGGAAACCTAACTGTTAGGCGGGTGAAGAACGGTTGGCCAGGTAATCTTAAAGGCCGCAAGTGCCGCCGAGCGCACGTCGGAAACCGAAGATGGGTGGGGAGGCGGGGGTGGGGAGCCGCACCGAACCCGCACGGCGGCACGACCGCATTCCTCACTCACTCGGGTCCCCGTCAGCCGTGCGGCCCGAACACGGAGGTCGCGACGTGCAGAAAGTACCCGACGCTAAATGCGACGCCGACTGGAGGCAACCGCAGGCCGGACCCTGGGCTGCGGCGGGCGGAGCGCGGGCAGCGCCCACCCGGGCCCGGGCACCCCGCTCCGTACGCGCTCCCGGGCCCGGCCCCCTGCCCCTGCCCCTTCCCCCAAGCCCCTCGGCCTCCGCCCTCCGGCCCCCGGCCGCGCCCACACCGCCAGGCCCCGCGCGGTGTCGTCGGGACTCCCGGTACCTGTCAGAACGGAAGGCCCGCCCGGACCTCGGCGCCCTCACGGCTCCCAGGGCCCTCCGCCGCCCCTCGGCAGCGGCTTCCGGAGCTCAGGCGGCGCCTCCTCCACCGCCCCGGGCCGGCCCGCACCCCCGAGCCGCAGCGGCGGTGGCCGCCGAGGAGCAGCCCCGGCCGCCTGCGCCCAGCGCCAGGGCCGCGGCCGCCGCTCTCATGACAACCAGACGGGCCGGGCTGGGCCGCGCCTGCGCACAAAGCGGCGTCTCCCCGCCTCCACTTCTCCGGGCCTTCTGGGTAATGGAGTCTCGGGGAGGACGGCGCCTGCGCACAGGCGGGGCTGCCGCTCCACTTCGCAGGCCTTCTGGGTGATGAAGTCCCCGGAGGACGGCGTCTGCGCGCAAGGCGGGGCTGCACCTCTGCTTCCCCGGGCCTTCTGGGTAATGGAGTTTCCGGGGGGACAGCGCGCGGCCCGGGTCTCGGTCGCAGAGCCCACCGAGCTCCGCACCCCCGCCGCTCAGCTGATCTCTGGGTCCTGGGCGAACAACAGCCTGAGTGGCCGGCCAAGCAGGTGCCGCCGGCGGGGCCGGAGGTCCTGAGGATGTTTACGGTGTTCCGGAAGCCCAAGACGTTCAAGCTGCGGGCTCTGCACAGGACGAAGAAGTTTGGGGTGGCGGGGAGGAGCTACCAGGAGGTGCTGCGGAAGGGGTGCTTCCACTTCCAGGTGCCCGGGGCCGGGGTTCGGGTGCCTTCACTTGCAGGTGCCCGGGGCCGGGGTTCGGGTGCCTTCACTTGCGGGTGCCCGGGGCCGGGGTTCGGGTACCTTCACTTGCACGTGCCCCGGGCCGGGGTCCATGGGACCTGGCGCCTCCTCAGACTTCTTCCTGTAGTCACTCAGCCCTTCAGCGGGAGTTTCTGGAGGGTTCTGGCGCGACACCTCCCTCTTCTGACCGTGAAGATTACGGCAGCTCTGGCCTGAGATTCTGGGACTCCCTGTTCTAGTGCATATCTGCTAACTTGCTGTGTGCTCCAGGGCACAGTCAGTGGGCCTCTCTGGGCCTCAGTTTCCCCTTCCATGAAATGAAGGAGTTGTGTTCACAGACCAGCACTGTTGTCACAGGGATTGCAGTCCTCATTCTCACTGGAGTCTCACTGTATTTGTTGTCTTGACCTGGACCTGGAACAGCGCGGGTTGTGGGGGTGTGTGTGTGTGTGTGTGTGTGTGTGTGTGCGCGCGCGCGTGGGGGGGCGGGACCGTCAGGAGTTGCCCTGAACGCTCATAAAGCTGACAAGCGTGGAGGGACAGTGTTAGGAAACCAGAGGACCGTGTGCCGTTCACACTTCGTCAGCCAGAGGCAATGAGTCATTTTCAGGAAGACGTTCGCTTTAATCATCGCTCAGGAAAACGGAGTGTGCTGAGCGGGCGTGTCCTGATACCAGTCGGGTGATGTGTCCTCATTGGTGGGGGTGTGTTTATGGGCTTAGTGGAAGCAGTCAGGCATCATTTTCTGAAACAGGCTCCGATTTTAAGTGCCTTTAAGGAGCCCGTTTCGAAAGGATCTGTGTGGCGAATCCTGTGGAGTCGACACCGCTAGGTATATATTTTTATGTGACTTGTCATATTTTCGAACGACGTGTAACCCCGGCACGATTCTTTAAAACACAGTTTTTTTCTGATTGTGAGGACCGCAGGTGGAAGGGCCTCAGGTTAATGCTCCCAGGCGGCCCGCCCAAGACCCGAGACGTTAGCTTCCTGCCCTACCCTCCCTCTCCGCAGCTCCCCATCACCGGCTCCCGCCTGTGCCTCTACGAAGACGGCACCGAGCTCACCGGAGACTACTTCTCGAGTGTCCCCGACAACTCGGAACTCGTGCTTCTCACCTCAGGCCAGACCTGGCAAGGCTGTAAGTGGTGGGGACGTGGGAGAGTGGCGGGGAAGCCGGCCCGGCTTTGGAGGTGCTGAGGGCCTGCTGTGGGGGACCAGCCAGGGAAACGGAGAATCTTCTCGCTCTGAGCTCCCCAGGGGGGAGCCCCGAGTCGGGAGCCTGGTTGTCCAGTTGGGTGTTTTAGGTGTCTTTTCTAAGTTATGTGAATTTTATGTTCGTTCTGGGTGTCCTAGTAACTCCAGAGGGCAGAAGGGAGGGATCTGGGGGTTGGGACCTGCACAGGTTTGTGGGTAAGGCAGAGCCAGAGAGAGACGCCATCCTGTGTCGTCGGGCCGTGCGAAGGGAGCGGTGGTGGCTCAGGTTGTGCTCTGTCTGCTCTGTTGGTGTTTGCTGATGTGCTGTCACGTTGGGGGCCCATCAGAGGCATCGCTTCCAGGCGTGATTCTTTAGGGGCATCCGGATTTAAGAACCAGCTCGATGACAAGTTGCACATTGGAGCTGTAGGCCAGGGGCAGAGCGAGTGTGCGTTCCTGGCTCTTGTGCAAAGTGGCTTACATTTCAGGAGATGCTTCTGGTCCTCCGGGAAGTGGGAGCCCTGAAGACAGAGATATCTGCCTCTTTGGCCGAAGGGACAGAAAGGGGCCCTAGTGTGGTGTACGTGTGGCTTTGCCCTGCGGTTGGGACTCCGCTGTTAGCAGTCACATCTAGTGTCTGCTCCAAGGTTGCAAGCGCTCTATCTCTTTGGGGCCTTGTCCTTCTAGAGGAGGCAGCCAGAAAGCAGAGTCACTGTGATGCCTCCTGGGATGGCCCCTTGCAGGAGGTGGGGACTGGGCAGGACAGGGCTGAGAGCCTGCCTGGCTTTTCCTTTTCTTTCCCATTTCGTGGTAGCGAAGTGAACAGACTAAGAAACACGGACTTGTTCAAGTGTGTGAATCGTGAGAGATTGGGATCGCATCTCAGTATTTTTTTTAAGTTTATTTATTTATTTTGAGAGAGAGAGAGAAAGTAAGAGCACAAGTAGGGGATGCAGGGAGCAGGGAAGTGTGAGAATCCCAAGCAAGTTCCACACTGCCAGTGCAGAGCCCGACGTGAGGCTCGAACCCGTGAACCGTGAGATCATGACCTGAGCCATAATCAAGAGTTGGATACTTCACCGACTGAACCCCCCAGGGCGCCCCACATTGTTGTCATCGTTTTTAAAGAAACGGGCTGTTTTCCAGAGTGGGAACACCTGTCCACCCGTCCTCGCCCAGAAGGCGTGTCTTTGTCTGTTTGTATTTTGTCCATTTTCTAATTGGAGTTTTAACTGTTGAGTTTCGGGTTTTTCTCAGAATACGTACTGGATATGAGTCTTGGTAGACGCGTGGCTTCTAGGGATTTCCTCCTGCTCCGTAGCTTGTCTTTACATCCCCAGAACAGGCTCTTTCACAGAACAAGTTTTCCGTTTCGATGAAGCCCACATTGCCCGTGCTTTCCTTTTGTGCTCATGCTCTGCACGTGAAGACTGGAAACTTGTCACCAAGCCCTGGGCCCGGAAGCGTTTCCCTCCTGCCTTTCTCGTCAGTGGATATGATCATGTGACTCTTTTTCTTTAGCCCACGAAGGGTGGGTTTATACTGGTTGATTTTCGAGCACTGAACAGCCTCTTGTCCCTGGAACGACCCGCTGGGCCGTGGGAGCATCATCGTTCTTTCTGTGGGTTGCCGCTTCTGTTGGCCAAGGTGTCACGAAGGGTCGCGGTAGACCGTGGTTCCACTGGGTTCTAAGCGCTGGCTGGGCTGCAGTCAGGTGGGTGTGGGATGCTCCAGGAGGGAGGTCCGGAAGGAGGCCTAGAGACGCGGGAGGTTTCGTTTGGGGAAGAGACGGGCAGCGACCCACCGGCTGTGGTGCCTCCACATCCAGCCCCTCCCCACGCTGAGGGGTGGGCAGCCAGGCCCAGGGGAAGGGCTAGCTGGCATCCGGGCAAGCCCGGGGCCCCGGACGCCCCTGAGGTCTGGCAGGTCCAGAAGCGTGGTGATGCTGGGCGTGCGGAGACCCCTTCCTCACCGCAGCGCTCAAAGGACCGCCGGCTTTTCTGTCTGTGACTCTTCTGGTGGCAGATGTGAGTGACATCCATCACTTCCTCCACGCGTTCCACAAGCCGCAGGCGGGGCTCATCCAGGCTGCCCGGCAGCTGCTCTCCGGGGAGCAGGCCCCGCTGCGGCAGAAGCTGCTGGCCGACCTCCTGCACACCGTCAGCGAGAACACCGAGGCTGAGACCAGGGCCGAGGACCCGCCGTGGTTCGAAGGTACTCCGGGGCCCGGAGCAGGGGTGGGGCTTGCTGGGAGCTGGCCACGCAGGGGACACCAGGTCCCACCGCAGTCCCTGGGCGGGGGGCCTGCCTGGCTTCTGTGTGCTAGAGGCCCCGGGACTGGCCTCCCTACTCCTCTGTCAGTTGTGGGAAAGCGTACGTGACGTAACGTGTTCCGTCTGAATCATTCTAAGCGTACGGTCTAGGGTCGAGCACATTCTCTGTGGCGTGCAGCCACCACCAGCATCCGTCTCCAGAACCTTCTCACGTTCCTCAACGGCAGCCGTCCCTATGTCCCCTCCCAGCCCCCACCCTCCACCCGGTCTGGATCTGACTCCCCTCGGGGCCTCCTCCGGGGGATCACACAGGACTCGGCCCTGAGCCTGGCCTGCTCCACGAGACACAGTGCCCTCGGGTGCACGCGTGCTGCAGGATCTCCCTCCTTCAGGCTGGATCTCGTTCTGTGGTGTGGCCGGACCGCGTTTTGCTTGTCTGTCACCCGGCCGTGGACACTTCGGCGTGTCCACCTCGGGGCGCGGCCTTCAGGCCCGCCGGAGCCGCCCTTGGACTGCAGGAGAGGGGGTTCGGGTGCCTGGAGCCGAAGCCCCTCTGTGGTGTCTAGATGCCCACGATGCAGGTGGGCCAGAGAACCCTCTCCAGGCAGAGGGCAGGAGCCCACGAACGGGACACGATCAGCCCGTTTCTCAGACGAGGCGGGTGGCACTTGCAGCCTGCCGCCCGGGAGAGGATGGCCATGGACTCCAGGGGGGTCTCGTCTTCTCTTGCTCCTGGCAGGTCTGGAGTCTCGATTCAAGAATAAGTCTGGCTACCTGAGGTACAGCTGCGAGAGCCGTATCCGGAGCTACCTGAGAGAGGTGTGTGTGCGGTGGCGGGCACGGGGGCGAGGCGAGGCGTGGAGACGGTGCCCGGAGCTACGCGCCTCTGCAGGCGGACGGCCCCGCCGGGGCCCAGCTCGCGGTGTCCCTGGGGTGCAGCTAGCGGCCGGCTCCCCGCACTCTGCCCTGAGCTGGCCCGAGCTGGCGCCCTGTGGCACCTGGGGCCTTGGCCCCCTTTCTTTTTGCGCTGGAGTCTCAGTGTGGGTTTTGAATAGAACTGACCTGTGAACATCATCACCCGTCAGGTGGTTGGATTTTGACGTGAACTTGTCTTCATCCAGCACTGGCTGTGACAGACGCCCACGTGGGTGGGTCCTGGCCTCTTTCCCCACGAGGACACTTCTGTCTCCAGGCTGTGGCCCTGGGCGGGGGGCCTGACCTCCGAGAACTGGGAAGGGCTGAGCTGCGTCTGCTTTTGGGGTGCTCCGAGCCGTTGTGGGTGTGAGCTCTGACTCCACGGGCCCAGGAAGGAGATGACATCCTTCCTCCCCCCTGGGAGATCCGAGAAGCGAACACGGAGATTTAAAGCTTCGGTGCTCCCACTGGACGTGGCTGTCCGTCCCCAGAGAAATCTGTGCCCAATGTGGCCTCTGTCCTGCTGCCCCCTCAGCGAAGAAGCAGAGCCCACGGACAGATTGGCGGCACGGAGGGCAGAGCTGGAGCGGTATCCCGTCCCGCTCAGAGGAAAATTTGGTCCCGTGGCACTCGCCTTTTGCCGTGAGGGTGGGGGTCTGTGCAGCTGCCTTCCGACCTCGTACGATGGGACAGAGGTGGGGTGCGTTCCCCAGGCGCTGACCTCTGTAAGGATGAAACATGTAAGAGGTCAGCTCCTCAGAGTGGACGGGAGTCCAGGCCAAGATCCCGTGACCCCTGCGCCGGGCCCTCCACGCAGGGGTGAGATTGGGTGCTCCCTGCAGAGGCGTGTTGGGGGGGGGGCTGCCCCTGTGCTCGTGTGCTTGGAAGGCAGTCCCGAGGCCGTCTTGCCCCCTGACTTTGCGGATGTGCTTCCTGCCCCGCTCCCTCCCCCTCTCCCTCCATGCCTGCCCGCGTTTCTTGGACCGTAGATCGCAGGGTCTATGGTGCAGGACGATGCACGGCCCGTGCTCCACTGAGAAGGAAAGCTCAGGACCGCGGTGTGGAGGCCCCTGTGGTCTGGCCCGGCTCTCCCACCTTCTCTGTCCTTCCACCTCCGCTCCACCTGGCCACCCTTGCCTGCCCCCTGCTGCTGCCGAGAGCGTGCTTCCTGCCCTGGCCGCCCCGGCCTGTCTCTCAGGCTGTGACCCCCTCGGCACCACACAGACCCTGCCGGGGTCTGTGCCCTGTTAATGTGTCTGCTGTCCTGTTGCTCGCGCTCGACCAGGAGCCCCGTGGGGAGGAGGGGGGTCTTTCTCTGCCTCCCCCTGGGTGCTCAGCATTTGGCTGCATTGTTGTGAGCCTCCCTCCAGCTTGAGTGGGCAGCGTGGGTGGCGGGTGGGTGACGTTCCTCGCCTGCCTGCCTCTTCTCCAGTTTCTTCCCACGTGGCAGCGGCGAGCGCCAGGGAGACGGGGCCAGGACTCCCGGAGCTTGAGTCTGTTACGTGGCCGACCCTGACCCCGGCTGCACGTCACAGGCCCAGAGAAGCTGGCTGGGCTTGGCCGGCCAGGGACCGTGTGAACTCAGCGCGCTGGGACCCCAGGCGGCAGGGTCCCCGAGGGCCGTGGCACCGAGTGGACTCGGAGTCCCCCGACCGCGCCAGCCTTCAGCGATGTCCCTTGGCGTCTTCAAGGTGAGCGCTTCTGCCTCCACGGTGGGCGCGGAGGCTCAGGAGGAGTACGTCCGGATTGTTGGCCTCATGTGCCGGAAGCTCAGGGCGGAGCAGTACCACAGCAGCTACTTCGACAGAGGAGCCGAGGCGGACAGCCGGCTCTGCACACCCGAAGGCTGGTTCTCCTGCCAGGTGAGCCGGGGGCCGGGGCCGGGGCGGCCCTCCGGGCATCAGCTCAGCTCGTGGTTCTCTGGCTTCAGTGGCCCTGGAACCCCCGGACGGTGCCGGGAAAGACCCCCCACCACCCGGCCCCCAGCTGCTCCTCACAGGTCTTCTGCCCACTTCCCGGGCGGTGCTGCTGCCGCGGGCCGAGGCCCTCCTTCGAGAAACACCGGTGGCAGGGAATAAGTACGCGGGGCACTGGGGACGGAGGGCACCACTTGGCCCCCTCGGGAGGAGGGTGGTGGGCAGAGGAGAGGACGGTTTCAGAGCTTCTGAAACGTGGTGTGTCCCCGGGCAGCCATCTAGGTGACGGCTCAGATTTCAGGACTGGTGGCCAGATGTGACCCTTCGGGCATTAGTGTGGCCTGACTCCACTCCCTGGCGGGTGTGGTGGCAGCAGCTGGGAGCAGTGTCCTGGGCCTCCTCCTGGACACTCGGATAAATGACAGAGATACCGCTTCCCGACAAGTGCTACCACCTCTGGGGAACAGGGTCACAGTCTGGAGGCTTGGGGCCGGCGACCTTTGCAAGGACGGGCAGGGGCTGTTTCACTGCCCATGCTTCCTTCCCGGCCTCCTGGACCCCATGCATTTCCAGTAAAATGCTCTGTCCCCACGGGTGGCTTTTCTAGTGCCACTGAGGGTACGGAGCAGGCCCTGGAGGCGGGTGTGGGACCCAGCAGGCGCTCGGTTGGGAATCCGGCATTCCTATCAAGTATCCTACTGGGGCTAACAAGGGAAAGGGGGCGCCGTTCCAAAGACAGGGCTCCTGATTGCCCCAAGCAGCGCACCATTTACCAGGACTAAGTCCCCTACCGGGGGCTCGTCAGTCAGCTCCTCCCGCTTGCCTGAGACCCGGGGTAAGGCCCTCCGAGGACCTGAGCTTGCTCTCTGTTGCCTAGGGTCCCTTTGACGTGGACAGCTGTGCATCCAAACACTCCATCAACCCCTACGGTAACAGGGAGAGCCGGATCCTCTTTAGTACGTGGAACCTGGACCACATGTGAGTACGGGTTCCGCAGAGGTCAGGAGTGCTTGTTGTTGAGAACTGAGCTCACAGACCCACGGGGCACCTGCGGGGGCCTGTCCCTGCCGTGGCGTCCGTGGCCTGCCTGCCGGCTGCCTCGTGTTTCATGTGCCGAGCTTGTGGGTTGTGGACCCAAAGGTGTCCTGGGTGTGCGTGGGGATGGGTGCAGGTGCCCACTCCTAACCTGCCTGATTAGGTGCCCTCCACGGTGGGGGCCTCCGACAGGAGCTGGTCCAGGTCCTTGTCCACGTGCGTGCGACCTGGTACGTGGCCCCTCGGTCACGTCCGGCTCCACCTGTGGGGCCCAGTGGGTGGCTCTCACCGCATCGCACTCTGGGGGTGTCCTGCCCCAACCAAGCAGGAGGTGCTCAGAGCAGGGGCTCTGGGTGGTTACTGTGCGCGGGGCATTTCCTGCTTTCACTGGGGTGCGTGGAGGCCGGCAGCAGTGTTCTTCCACGTGGACGAGCTCTTTCTCAAAAAGGCGCACAAGTAAAATTGTGTTATCTTCACAGACTCTTTTCTGGAACATAATGATGTCCTTGTCTCTGCTTTGTGAAGACAGAGGTCTTCCAGTGCCCTTCAAGTGGCTCTATCACTTTGGGGACAGGTGGCTTTGCACATATGTAGGACATGACAGGGACAGCTGAGGCTCACTTTCCACCCCTCCTGGATGCACCCCTGTCCTCGCAGGGGAACCGCTCTGCTGCCATTTGCGAGCGTCCCTGTGATGCCTATTTATATAGACCTTTACCCTGTAGGTATGATTTGAAAATGGACGTAAGTGGTATCACATGTGGTGACTCTACACCGGGCTTTTCCGTCCTATGTCGTGCTCGCGGGGATGCGTTTGTGGGTTTTGTGCACTCATTTCACCAGGTGCGGAGTGCCTCGCTCTTTCAAGACAGTATCGTTTGAATATCCATTTCCATCCCGGTAGGCGCTTCTGGCCGTCCACCTTCCGCTATTACAGAGCCCCCTGGGTTGAGCGCGCACGTGGGACCGACCTGCATGGCCATGTGGGTGTGGCCCGTGGACTGGCAGCGTCCTCAGCATGTGGGGACTGGTCAGGAATGCAGATTCTCGGGCTCCGCGCACCGTTACCCGGGTGCTGGGGATTGGGGTGCACGTTCAGGCGAGGAGGCTGTCCTGGTGCCTGAGCTGAGGAGCTGCGCTCCCCTCTAGGCAGGGTGCTGGGTCTCACCCCTTCGATGTGCACGGAGCACCTAGAGACGATTGCCGGGTTCTCCAGGTCATCTGTCGGCTACTTTCCGTGCCCCGTTGGGGCGTGGGGACATTGATCTGGGGGCGGTCCCAGCACTCAAGGGGCGGAGCAGGCCAGCCTGGAGCAGAGTGCAGACGAAGCAGCAGAGGCTGGAGCAGGGTTGTCTGACACCCTGGTTTCAGGTGCATTTTCTCTGTCTCAATACAGTACTTCTGTTTTCCGGCAAATCGGCCTGCTTCTCTGCACACGTCTGACTTCCGGTTTTCTGTGCTATTTCAGGCTCGTTTCTCCCAGGAGGGTCCTGTGGGCACTAAATGTTCTTTGGTCTTGGAAAATGTCCCTCTGGCCTCTACTCCTGCGTGGTCATTTAGCGATACTGAATTCTGGGCGGTGGGTGTCCCACCTTCAGAACTTTGAAGACGTGCTCACACTCTCCCAGCGTCTGCTTGCGAGAATCTGCCCACAGCCTGTTCTCTGCCGTTTCTGCGGACATTTCAGATTTCCCCTTTCTCTTTGAACATGGCGTGTGTGTGGGTTTAGATCCTTAAATTCTGACCAGGGCTTGTCTTTGTTCCGAAGACAAGTTTCTCTTTAGTTTTGGAAAACACCTAAGTATTTTTTAGTTACCCCTTCTCGGCTTCTCTCTGTCCGGCTTTTTTGGAGCTCCCGCTGGCCGCACGTTGGACCTTCTCGTCCTGTCTCCCTTGTGCTGTGGGGGTGGTGTCGGGGAGCCCTCCGAGGCCTCTCAGCGGTCTGTTTCAGAGTGCTCTAGCCCAGGTCCTCCGCTGGGGTCCTCGACCTTTGCGGTGTGCTCCTTGTGACATCTGTGCGTCTGGATTCAGAGTCCACCCTCGGTGGGGATTGTGTTTTCTGTGCACTGGCTTGTCCTGTCCCCACAGGGTGGTTTTGCATTTGTTTCTGCCGGACACTCACGGAAAGCCAGGGCTTCCCATGGCTCTGAAACAGTGGAGTATTAATTTCTGGCTTGGGTCCCGTCCCCTGTGGCAGGTGCAGTCGGACTGTGGGTCTGTGTGAACGGTGAGCCGAGGGTCCTGGGTTTCCTGGTGACTGTGGAAATGGTCACGCTGTTGGTGTGCCCGAATCATGCCTCCTGGGGCCTCTACCTTGTGTGTCGTCCTCACCCCTCCCGCTGCTGACTAAGGCTCGGCCATGTGGCTCCAGCACACAGGACGCCAGCAGACACCTGATACGTGCTTGCGCGCTGGGGCTCCTTCTCTTTGAGCGCTGGCGTCAGTGGGGAGAGCCCTGGCCTGGCCTCCTTGAGGGTGAAGGGCGCCATGGGGAGCAAGGCCGCCCCCAGCCAGCCCTCTAGCGTCGCGCAGCCACAGGAGCGGTCGGGGTCAGCGGGCGCCCCCCTCTTCTGGGCCTGGGCAGGCAGCAGTAGGTAGAGGGTAGGGTGGCTTCCCCTCCCTCCCGGAGCCCCGGGCGCCCCTGCCGCTTCCCTTCCGCTTTAATGGCTGGACTGGGGTCTCGGTCCCACCTCCCTGGCCCTCCCCTTGGGCCTCTGTATGGACCAGAGCCCCAGTGGGCTGCAGGAGGGTGGCTCGCCCCTGCGGATCAAGTGTGGACTTGAGTTCCTGGCAGTGGGGAGCCCTCACCTGCTCAGCTTTGTACCTCTTTTCCCTTTTCTTCAGTGTTTCTCCGTGTTGTAGGGACAGGTGGGCCCAGCATGCTGCAGTGGCCCTCCTGGCCTTGTTTCTATTCCTCGTGTTATAAGCTCAGTTCGCAAGCTTTACCTGTCAGTACGCGGGCTTTGAATGGTGTGTAAGCAGAACAGGTTTACACAAAGCAGTATCGCGATTGTCTCCAGTGGACACACACACAAGCACAAGGTCGTGGTTGGGAAGACAGACGTCAGGCCCTTAAGACTCTCCCCAGGGAGGACAGGGGCTCAGCTTTACTTCTGCGGTTCAGCTGGGGAGGTGCTCCTGTGTCACCACGGAGACGGGTGTCAGTGGGGATGGGTGGCATAGGGCTCCACCCCCTTTCCCTGTGTACTTCTCAGTACTTACAAACACGCACCGCCAGCCCTCCTCCGTGAGACATTCGAGCTGCTGGCCCTGGGGCCGCATGCGGTGAGGACCGTCCCCCCAGTGCTGCCCCTGCTGACAGCCGCGGCCAGAGGAGGGGTCACTGCCCCGCTGCTCCTCGGGCGTGTTTCCAAGTGTGGCTCCTTTTGATACCTGAACCTCTGGCCACGTGTCCTCCTGTACGCCCCCAAACGTCAGCTCACGTTTGGGCCACAATGACCGGATGCAGCCCTCCAACGTGTCCCCGTGCTGCCATAGCAGGCTACTCGGTAGGGGCCGTGGGACGCCGGCAGCAACCGTGACCCTGTCTTGCCTTGCCCTGCAGAATAGAAAAGAGGCGCACTGTCATCCCCACGCTGGAGGCCGCCATTGCGGAGCGGGCCGGCAGGGAGGTGTCCTGGGAGTACTTCTACAGCCTGCTCTTCACTGCACACAACCTGAAGCTGGTCCACATCGCCTGCCATAAGAAAACCAGCCATGGGCTCAGCTGTGACCCACGCAGGATCTACAGACCCCAGACGAAGCCGAAGAGACGGCAGCCGGCCCGCAAGTGCCAGTGATGGGCCAAGTGTGGCACCTCCTCCCCCGGCGGGCACGTCCTCCCGTTGGGCACTGTTACTACACTTTTGCCGCTGCAGCGGTTTCTGGAAAAACTTCAGAGCCCTCCTACAAGTTCTGACCTCGCTACACTTCCGAATCTGTGTTCGCACCTCCGACGGCCCGAGTGCCAGCGGACAGGCTAGCCGTGCCCTGGGGCGCGCGGTCGGCTCAGGAGCCCTTCCGTCCCTGCTGGGCTGCCCCCGCAGAGACGCAGCGTCAGGCCCGACGTGGCCGCGCTGGTCCGAGGCGCGGGCATTCTGTGTCAGCTCTCTGCTGGGTCTCTGCTCCCGGGCGGATGTGAGGCTATACCTGCTGGACTTTTCCGGATGCTCCAAAGAGTGGCAACCCATTCAGGGTGAAATGTTTGTAAAGAACGCGCAGGGACACGCGCTGCTGTATGGTTTATGATGGCAGAAAGCGGGAAACCCTCTGAATGCCTGTCCACAGGTGAGTCCTGCTTGTGGTATTGTGCTGAACCGCGGCAAACCGTTGGCTTTGTGGCTCAGAAGCTGTCAGAGGCCATTAATTTCTGGGTTCGTCTTCCACGTGGACATAAGGCACAGCCACGTGGCAGCTCTGTGTGTTTCATACGGAAAAGGGAAGCTGTCGAGTGCACAAAGCATCCAGTGGCTTGACCATGCAGAGGACGATCTGTTGGTTTTATAAAAGCCCGTGAGTGTATGCCACACGCACGTACAAGACAGTCAGGAAACACACCGTCAGGACAGCAGTAGTCCTGGGGGACAGGGTGGGTGGGTGGGGGGGTACCGGATTTTAAAGAGCCAATTTTCTAAATCATGTATTTTATAATACTTGAAGTTTTTGAAATGATCACTTATTTCATGATCCTTTAAACATTCATTTTTAAAAATCACACAGATTTTAATATTTGAATTTTTACATTTATTGTATAATCATAAAAAGCAATAAAGATTTTTCAGAAAAAGACTTATCAAAAAAGTTTGCACTCACTGGGAATGATGAAAATGAGGATAGAAATAGGGGTTAGTGATTTTTTTTTCAAAGGTTTTAATTTATTTCTGAGAGAATGAGCAAGCAAGCGTGAGCAGGGGAGAGGCAGAGAGAGAGTGAAAGGCACACAGAGAATCCCAGGCAGGCTCTGTGCTGTCAGCACAGAGCCCGATTGAAGGCCTGCACTCACGAGCTGTGAGATGGTGACCTGAGCCAAAACCCTTATTCCATTTTCGGAAATCGAGATCTCAGAGCGAGTCGATCCTGTGTGGAACCGTACGAGTGCCACCTCAGCACGTGGTGTTTACCAGGCTGGACGGGGAAGCCCGGACCGTGGGGGAGTCGGGGCCCGTGGGAAGTGCGCCCTGCTGTCCCGGTGGACCCTCCTTCTCCAGCCCAGCAGCAGCGCGACCTCTTTGCAAAACGGGGTCACGGGCTGTCCTTTTTCAACAAAAGAAGGGAGTTAAAACGTAGCGGCTGGGAGTGTTGAGTCTGGTGATCTGTGGGTGCAGGAATGCTGGGTGGTCCAGGCAGGAGGTCCCTCGTACCGGCAGGCCCGTCACTTGCTGTGGGCCGGCTCTTTGGTCAGCAAGGCTGCAGAGGGAGGACCTCCAGACCCAGGGCCTGCAGGAGGGAGGGAGGCGGCCAGCAGTCAGCCTCTGATGGCAGCTGAGGGGCAGAGGGAGCTGGCTGGAGAGCGAGGGCAGGGAGGCCCAGGGAGGGAGTCGGCGTGCAGAGCTGGGGGGCGGGGGAGGGACGAGGTGAAGGGTCCGCAGTGGAGGCCCTTGGACCAGTGTGAGCAAGGCACAAGGGCTCTGGTGAGGCGAGGCCTGGAAAGGGGGCATTTCAACCCCAAACACTCTAGGAAGCCCTTGAAGCAATTTAGGAAGGGGCCCCGAGTGCCCATTGCCAGGACAGGCCGGTCTCCAGCCTGCCTGAGGCTCCAGGAACACCCCGCCCTGGGGGGTGTCTGTCACCAGCCAGTGACCTGGGCTGGGCTGGGGTCCAAGTCCGAGGTCCTCGGGTAGGCGTTCCAAGCTCATGTGACCCCAACAAGACCCTGGGCGGCCCCAGGTCTCCTCCACGAGCTCGAGGCCTCTGCACTTTGCCCCAAGCGTCCTTCCTGCGATGAACGGGGACTGGGAGTATATCCTTTCCTGAGTCCTAGCAGTTGTGGGGATCCTCCAGCCTGAGGCCCGTGGGAGGTCCCTGTGCAGCGGGCGTTTAAGACCGCGTGGAACGCCTCTGCTGCTCAGCCAACCACTTGGGCAGCACTTCGTGAAGACCAGTAAGTAGAGATGCTTCGTAAAAATTCACACTGTCACAGGGCTTGCTAGGTCATAAGTAATTCTAACGTGTATTTCGCTATGCCTTCTGAAACTTTATTTTGTCCCCAGGGCTTAGTCTGCATTCCTTTTGTACTGCTAAGGTCATTCCCAACGGGCCTCAGCCCAACGCTTGGTCCTGCAGCACGTGAGCACAGCACGGTTTCCCCAGCTCCATGCTGTCTGTGCCGTCTCTGCAGGGGACACCTGCTTGCTTCCTGCAGCACCCCTCACCTGGGAGTAACCGTCTCTGGCCCGCTCGCCACCCCAGGAGGCCACGCAGTGGGAGCAGGGGTGGGGCCCCCAGGCGCACGCTCGGTTTCATTCTGCATTTTGGTGGGAACGTGATAGCCAGGCTCTTCTGCAGGTCAGGCCGATGCTTCTCCCAGAGGCCGGTACGTAGGCCAGAGACTCCTGGCATCTGACGCAGTCGTTCACCACTAACTCAGGTGCTGTGATCACTAGTTAATTCTGCAGTAACCCCAACTAGTTAGTTGTTTTTCCTGGCTGCCGCCAAAATGCCTTTATAAGCAACAATTTCAAGTTATTAAGTAGTTTGTTGATCAATAAACCACAAAATTATCCAGAGTCGGTGGTCACAGCTGCTAATGGTCACATTGGGCAGTGTCTCGGGTGGGTGTTGGAGGGGCTCGAAAAGCTTATAGGGCAACTCAGCGACCTACCTGCCCCGAATGATCTTTCACGTGAGATCCTTCCGTGCCTCACAGGACATTGTAATACGGTTAAATGTAGCTGCTGTCAGGACTGAGCTCCTGTTACTGGAGCGCCCCGCCCCTGCTTATCGGCAGGGGGTTCCTTCCAAGACCCCCAGTGGAAGCCTGAAGCAGAGGTGGTCCCGAACCGGCTACGTGCCAAGTTCTCTCCTGTACGCGCACCTGTGATAAAGTTGAACCTCGCGTCGGGCACAGGAAGGAACCAACAGTAAAGCAGAGCGGTCATGACAACGTGCCGTCCCGCCCTCATGACAAATGCCCGTGTGCTGGGATGAAGGAGGTTGATGATGCGGGCAGGTGACACGGAGTTGGGCTACTTCCAACCTTCTGACCTTGCGTCACAGGGAGGACATTTGCTTCCGGCCCCGCGGACGAGGGGGACGACCGCAGCTGAAGAACAGCCTCTGATGCTCCTCAAGAAAATCCCAGTCTTCCTGAATCGCAGGCAGCCTCCCTCGGTCAGTCGTGGGGATCCCTCGTGGGTGTTCCTCACCTGCCCACCCGCTCTGTAACCACACCGCACGGGGCGAGGACTGTGCTGAGCGCCGCTGTCTCAGGAAGCCCTCAGTCTACACGGAGGGGCCCTCTCCCTTCAAGGGCGCAGCCTCAGCTCTCAACTCTCGGGCCTCACCTCTGCCCACAACCCAGGGAGCAGGTACGAAGGCTGACCCAGCCTTAACAAATACAGGTGGGAAAGGATTCGTTTTCCCCACTCGACTCTCAAATATTGTAGACAAGCATGGAGTTTTAGGAACATGAGACTCTTTAAAAATACTTCCAAAATATATTTTATTTCTTAGTCGTACGTGTTTTGCAAAATTCCCAAGGTAAACATTAGCTTCATGTACAGAAATAGAAGGAGAGTTCTTTAAGAACTGGCACTGACTCAATCATGAGAATGATCAAATTTTGATAATGGAAAATAAACGCATGTGTTATCAAAACTAAAGAGCTTAAGTGAGCAGTTTTCTTTAGAAAGATCTCCCAGCCCCCTCAGGGGACTCAAGCCATCGTCCGCACACACGGATATCAGAAACCGCACGATCTCGGAGAACGTTCTGGGTCACACGTGTCCATGCTGCAGGTATCTGGCGTTCTGCACTAGGGCGTTCGTGGGTCAGCTTCAACATGTGGTGAAGGACACGTTTTCTTGGGAGATAAGGTCGTGTGAATCCCAGAACTGGCTCAACTGTCAGACTACTACTGACTGTCAAATTCGTGTTTTATTCTCTACACTTCTACACCATCATCATCCTCTTCATCGTCTTTGGCTCTGAAATGCATCTTCCTGAATTCTCGTCTGCTCATTGAAGGACAAGACGAAGACGCCGGGGGAAGGTCCTTGGGGGAAGGAAACACTCCCTCAGCCACCGCCGGCCCACCGCACCTGTCGGCTCTTGGGCGAGGACTCGTCCCCCACCGGCTGACGTGGGGGACGCAAGGGTTAAACGGAAGAGGACGCCCCACAAGTGTGGGCAGTCGCTCCCCACCCGCGACCGTGCGGGGAGGCCCAGAGTCACCTGCCAGGCCCCCTGCCCCCACCCCGAGGGCCGAGCGGGAAGGAGGCCTCCCAGAAGCAGCTGTGCCCTGGCAACCACCTGCCGCTGAGGATGGGGAAGGGGCGCGCCCACTTAGTGACTGGTCTGTCTGCTCGTGGGGACCGGAGCCTGTCCCCGAGGCAGTGCCACGTGCAGGGAGAGCAGAGAGCCGGCCAAGCGCGCGCCCCGCGCGGGGGCAGCCACGGAGGCGCCAGTCTTACCTGCATGAGCTCCACGTTCCCGAAGAACCGGCCCACCGGCATCGGCTGGTTGCTGTCCTCGTCCAGAAAGACGCTGTCATCTGTCTGCAGTGCCGCCCCGCCCCGTGCGGTGCGGCTGCCGTGGGGGTCCTCTCCCGTGAGGGGCCCGTGTGCCGGCGGGGACGGGCCGTCTTCAGTCTCTGCGGGGCGAGTGGGCCCGAGGGGGCCGAGGGGGCCGCCCGTGGCCGCCGGCTCTGTCGGGGCACCAGCTCCCCTTCCTGGAGGCGCCGTGGGGTCTTCGGCAAACCCCAGAGGGTCACTGTCACAGGGGCGCTCGGGTGGTATCTTGGGCAGAGCAGCACTATCGCTCTTGGGGACTCGTTTCTGTAATTCTGATTTCACAAGATGACCTTTGTCATACTTGAACTTCTTGGAAGTTCGCCTGTCGGCGGCTTTGTGTGATGAGGAAGTCTGTGGAGAGAAAAGTGTGTGAGAGAACCAGACTCGTGTAGGATGGTGAGGCGGACGGCGAGTCAGGAGGCCTCCGTCCCGGGGGCGAGCCCTCCTCACACCTTAAGCAAGAGACGTCGTTGCCACTTGCACGATGGGGTCACGTCACTGTCTCCCTCGGAGGGACACGATGTAAACTGGCGGCTGGGGAACAATCTAGACACACAGCCACCGGGGCCTTCTACTTCCTGAGGGACCTTCGGAAGCACAAACCACCATATTGTAGTTACAGCGCGGGACTCCGGGTCGCACACACCTCTGCTCGGACGGAAGCCGTTCTGTGACCCCGATCAGGTGCACAGCCAGGATTTACTAAATGGACTGCAGTCTTTAAAGCAGCGTAGGCCACTGAAACTCTACGCTAGTTGTTGGCGTAAAACCCAAGTCCCAACCAGACCCCGGAGCGCGGCCCGAGGCAGGTCGAGCTTACAGCAACTTCGTGGGCTAGGATCGCTCGGCACAGACAGAGGCAAAGCTCTCTCCCGAAGCGGTCAGGGCTAAAGAAGCGTGGCGCCATGGCAGCCGACACCATGCAAAAGGCGGCAAGGAATGACCAGCAAAGGTGCACGGTGGGTCGGAGTCTGAGACACCCCTGCCCGTGGACGGGCGAACGCTCCAAAAGCACGGCCCTGGGCTGGAGAGCGCACCTTCCTCTGAAAGCGGTTACGCGGTTCTCTCCTCTGGGACAGAAGCGCCACGACACTTTTCTAACACGACCCATCTCAGGGTGAACATTTCGCATACAAATGGCCACACCGGTCGAGATCCGGCAGCTCTGTGTTACCGAGACTCACCTGACATACCGTCCTGGCAGACGTGGCGATGCTGGCTTCCCGAGCAGAGGCCAACCTGGCTGAGCGACGGCGGGCTCTCAGGCGCACCGAAGACCGCACCTCACCTGTGAGCTAGACCAGGACCCAAGGCGTCAGAAAACGCTCTTGTGAGATGCGAGCCCGGACACAGCGACTTCCTAACCGAAGAAAACCCTGTTGAGTCCTTCCCACCCCCCTCCTCACCTTTCTGGAAAGTCCCCTGTGGCCTTGTGCAAATTCAAACGAAACTGTCTTGGATTGAAGATGCAGACCTACTCTTTCCAACGGCCTCAGAAGCTTGGGGACAGGCTGTCCCCGTCACCTTATACCTCCATTTGTAGGTTAACAGATACTAAACTAGCTGCAAACGTTTAGAAGCAGTCTCCTCAGAAGGTTCTTGAACTTTTACATGGTATGAGTTCCTGATAAAAGGTAATATGAAAAAACAAAAAGGCATCCCCACCCCCATCGCTCCCTCCCTCAAATTACAGGTGGAAACAGTCCCAGTTCTACCGGTTTAAAGCAGTTGACTTTGGACTAATCTTAACACGGTCTGCCGCCAGTTTACTCTGAATGCAAGAGTCTTCTAATGCAAGAAAAGAATTAATGAAAAAGTAAAACTTATAACCCACGGTACGTCTGGCAAAATGGAAGAGTTAGCATTGGCTCACCCCTGTTCACTAAACTACAGATTTATCTGAATTCCACGCTTTTTCTCTTTTTAAATAAATATTTATTTTTGAGAGCGGTGTGCACACACGGAGGAGAGGCAGAGGGAAGACAGAAAATCCCAAGCAGACTCTGAGCCATCAGCACAGAACCGGATGTGGGGCTTGAACTCACAAACCGTGAGGTCATGACCTGAGCTGAAATCAAGAGTTGTTCACTTAACCGACTGAGCCACGCAGGCATCCCTCACCATTTTTCCACTAATTCCTTATTCTGTTCTGGAATGGATACCAAGTGCACGTGGTGAGCAAGGGTGGGCCGGCATGCAGGTGGAAGGGCAGGGGCTGGGGGCCGAGGGGCCGGGGGAAGGAAGAGGAAACCAATCAAAACGGAGACCGCTAGTTTAGAAATCTGTAATGGCGTCCCACCCATCCCCATCTGCAGCCCTGGAGGTCTCCAGAGGCCCCCGGAGGTGGCGGCTCACCCAGGCCGTGAGATACTGGATGGTCCCATACGGCATTCAGGATGGAAGGAAAAGGAAAGGCCGTGGCCTGTGCGCACAGCGGGGACACGGCGCTCCAGGCCAGGTGAAGGGCCTGCCGGGTGGGTGCAGCAGGGTCTGGGCTCACAGCCACTTGTGGGGGAGTCTGCAGCGGTTCCAGCACGCCCGTCCTCCCTGCCCTGCCCAGATGACCCCCGAAGTCCTCCTACCTCCCAGGAGGGAACGGCCGCCTTAGTCCCAGGCCACCAACTGTCCTCTCTTCCCCTACGAGTCCTGCCCCCGACACTCCCCCTTGTGACTGTGCTCGGTGCTGGTTGAGAGACACGACTGGCCTTGAGGATGGCTGCCGCTATCACCGAGTGCTGATGTAGCTAGCACGTGCTGTGCTTGGGGCCTGAACAGCCTCCTCTTAAGAGGATGGCGGCTCCGGTGAGGGGCCTGTGTGAGGTTGCACAGGGATGCGTGGCCTCAAAGTCCTCCTCACCCTGCTTCATCACGCGCGGCTCTCCCCGACATGAGCTCCAGGAGCCGCCCGCTCCCCAGGGACGGAACCGGGGAGCAGTCCTGGCTCGTGCCGCCGAAGCGCTCAGGCCCTTCTGCGCAGCTGCGTGCTTCCCGATGCCTTCCAGCTTCACCTCTGAGGCGGGGGGCTCCAGGCTCCCCAGGCGGGCTCCTTAACCTTCACTTCTGGGCCCCCTGCAGAGGCTCTCTTGGCGGGTACAGGCCATCGCTCAGGAGCTGCCGTCACATCCGGCATGGCATCGTGCTGGCTTCGGGTTCGTCGTGGGTGGAGCCACCCCCCAGGCGCCAGCTCCCACACGGGATCTGGCAGTTTCTTCTGCCTTGGACGGCTGCTTTGCTTCCCGTCGTCAGTCTTCTGCCTTCCAAGCGAGTGGTTAAAAACTGTGATGTCACAGGCAACACTGTGGTTTCCCAAAAGGGCAGGACAAGACTGACTTCCAACGGGTCAGCACAAGGAACCCCGCTGACCCCCACAGAACTGGCAAGAATGAAAACCATTTAAGACTTCTGGAAATGGTCCTATGGCATGCAAAGGGTAAAAGAATGTTATTCAAGACCACCCACAAAATTCAGTGGTGTATGGACTCCAGACTGCCACCAGACCGCCACCACCAGGACGCTGGGCTCCCAGGCGCGAGGCGGGTCCCACCACCCTTGCCCCTGCTGGGAGGAGGTGGGTCCAGGCCAGGAGAGGCAAGCCTTCCTCCAAGAGCTCAGGGGCAGAGGTGTCACACCAGTGAAGGCACTGTCATTTCGCCCGGGGAGGGACAGACGTAAAACAGAGTTCCTAATCAGAATTCTTAATCTGTTCCCTACAGAACTGACTTCTTTTGCAAGGAGTGTGGATAAAGCTCGTGCGTAAAGGGGCTCTCCAGAACACTAGAGGTTGTGGAGAAAGGCAGTTAGAAAGAGACATCAAGATAAACTTTAGGTCAGATAGTCTGCAGGTGACAACCAGGGAATAATGCAGCTGGAAGAGCCCTCCTGGGGTCAGCACAAACATCCAACCAATCTGACCCCAGAAACTAGGCCTTCAAAGAAGCCACAGCTAGACTGGATTATCGGCAGAGCAATGTATGCCCCAGGCTATTGCTGAAAACAATTGAGCAATCAACAGGCATTTACCGGGAGCTTAACAGCTGGGTGTGGTCAGGGGAGGAGAGGAAGAGCGCCACCCCAGGGAGAATGCGGGCTGCCCGGCAGGCAGGGGCACGTCCCAGCTGCCCAGGTGAGAGGGGAAAAGACTCCCATAGAAGAAATCTACCCAGTCACCAAATAAAAAGCCTATAAAAAATAGTCCGTGGGGGTGGGGGTGGGGGTGGGAGACAGGTACCCAGAACTGCTGCACTATCTGCTATGTCCAGGTTCAACAAGAAAAGATGGCGCGTGCGAGAGGAAGGCAGATGTCTACAGCGGAACAAGAGCTGGCGATGTTCCAAGAACCTGTGATGGTGCCTGGGGTGGAGTTTACCAGAAAAAGCCTTCCAAGTGGCCATGATGAACATGTGCAAAGGCTAAAAGGAACCACAGTTAAGGAATAAAAAATTTGACAATGTTGCATCCAATACAGAATGATGACGATAAAAAGAAATTATGAAAAGGAACCAAAAGGAAATTCTGTAGTGAAAAAGTACAAGAACTGAAATAAACACTTCACTGGAGGGAACTGGCAGAAGAAATAATAAGCAAACCCAAGGTCATGCAAGTCAAACGAGAAAAAAGAATGAAGAAAAATGAAGAGTCTTCAAGAAACAAGGGACTCAATCAAGGGCACCAACATATGTGTAATGGGAGTGCCAGGAAGGGGAGGGAAGGAGAGAAAAGATACACAGAGAAATAATGGCTGAAACTTCCCAGTTATTGAAAAAAAAAAAACAAAAAAAACAAAAAAAAAAACCAACCACCTTCACACACAGGAATGTCCAGGAACTAAACTCCCAATAAGAGAAATGGAAAGAGCTGTGTAAACAGACGGCGCCGCTTAAAGGCTGAAAGCCTAAGACCAGAGAACTCTTGAAAGTGGCCGAGGAAACACTCACCAGGGGAGCCCGATAAACAAACACACCGCTAACTGAGCAGGGGCAATGGATATAGTCAAACATAGTCAAAGTTCTTCAAGAAGAAATGTGCCAACCAAGAACCCTGTATCTAGCAAAGCGATCAAAGCAAAAGAGACACTTCCGGATAAGCGGAGAGAATGCTGCCCGTGTTTCTTGCCAGAGGTACCGGGGGGAGCTCTGCAGGCTGACAGCAAGTGGCCCCGGACGGGAATTCAAGTTCACAGAAAGAGGGCGCCCTTTTTGTCGATGCTTACCGACAGCGTACAAGCACGGGTGCCTCCTTTCTTGGTGATTTATAAGCGGTTGTAGAAATAACATTATACAACGTAGACAGGAATGTGCTTTGGGGTGCCTGGGTGGCTCAGTCGGTTAAGCGTCCGACTTCAGCACAGGTCATGATCTCACACTCCGTGAGTTCGAGCCCCGCGTCGGCCTCTGTGCTGACAGCTCGGAGCCCGCTTCAGATTCTGTGTCTCCCTCTCTCTCTGCCCCTCCCCTGCTCACGCTCTGTCTTTCTCTGTCTCAAAAAGAAATAAAAACATTAAAAAAAAAAGGAATGTGACTTATTTGCCAGTTACAGCACAAAGGACGTGGGTGGGGGCAGGGCTGTTGGGGCAAGGAGAGGACCACACATGGAGAAACGATCAGAACAGGTCGTTGGGTTTCTAACGCTAATAGATATAACAGGTTATCCCGACATACCAAGAAAGTGGGTGAAGGGAATAAAGGTACATTTTTAGGTCTCACGACAAATCTGGAGCTTGTAGAGGCCGCTTTTAGGCAAACAGGCTGGAGCAACCGGGTGCAGAAAGGGCGCCGGCGCCCACCTGTCTGAAAACAGACCCACGAGGCGACTCCGCCCCCGGAAATATCCATAGGCCCCAACTGGCCAATGGGCTACTTACAACCGGCACAGGTCCCGAAAAGGGAGAATCCCATTGGTGGTCACACCTCCGCTTCTTCCCGCTTTCCCGCAGCCCCGCCCACTGCCTCCCAGCAGCCCCTCCTGCACTGCGCCCTTCCAGCTCCTGGGTTCGGCCTCAGGTGAATTTTCACGCCCCGAGCCACTGGCTTCCACGCCACTGCCGCCCCACACGTGGGGGCCCCTGACCGATCAGTCACCCCATTTACACACCACAAAGCCGATTCCACTAAGTTACAATGCATACGGTGAAACCTAGAGCAACTGCTAGAAAGAAAACACAAATGCCCACCAGAAAACATTCATTTTCATCCATCTACACAAGGAACAAAGAGAACAGACGTGCATAAAGAAAACAAAAGTAAAGTGGCATGCGCGCATCCAACCAGACCAGTAGCTTTAAATGTGGGCCAAAAGATTCCATCAAAAGAGAGGCCAGGCTGGTAAGGCAGCGGGGGG